AATCATCTGACCAGGCTCACATGAATCCGTTAAGTCCAGACATCAGGCCTGGCAGTGCTAATCCTCAGTGATGTCTTTCATGTAAGCCAGGAAACCAGCCCTCCTGTGGTGACAAAGCAATTCTGAGTAGCAGTCCTAGATCCTATAATGGATATTTTGCAGTTGGGTTGGAGCAGGGTGGACTGGATGGGATGTTAATAATCTAAACTGATATTCAACACAGTTGGTTTTTCCTCAGCAGCCTTGGAGGGATGAGTATCATCTATTGGAAGCTGTTTTTCTTACAAAAATTCTGGCGTTTATTCCATTTGTAGTAACATAGGCTTAGTCACTTGTATGACATATGAGATCTAGAAGGATCATGTTAAGGAGATGCTAGTGAGCATTTATATTAAACATTTACTGGGTATCTTTGCACAAAGCATTGTGCTAGCTTCTTGGAATACAAAGATGAATGTGACTTGATCCCTGTCCTCAGGAACTTAGGTCAGTAGAGGCAAGACACCCAAACAATCATTTCAACATAATGTGATAAGAACACTGAGAGAGGTGTATGTTTAGGTATATGGGAATATGAAGAAAGCCATTAATCCAGCTGGAAGAGGGAGATTGTCAGGAAAGATATCCTGGAGGAGGTTACACCTGTGCTGGGTCTTGAAGGATGAGTAGAAGTTAGCCAGAAAAGAAAAGAACATGCCCTGGACTATATGGACAGAAGCCTGGAGGTGTGAAACAGCATGCCATGTCACAAGAACCAAATTACAGGTGTGACCCTTAGTATATGTGGATTTAAATTTAAGGTTTCCATTATTCCCAAGGAACCCATGATAAAGTTTTTTGTCATTTTGCTGAGGCATGTGGTAGGATCTTAGCCACAAAACTAGTGAGCAAACTCCACCAGAATTTGCATTTCAGTGAGCATGTCTTCTACTCATTTTCACATGTGCGATATCACCCATGAGATGATTTTAAAACTTTGTTCTTTATGGAAAATGGGCCTGAAAAGTGCTGAGTGTAGAAAAGCATGTGGGGCCTTAAGTGTTTCTTTGTACAAAAAGGAAGCTTGAGACACAAACTATAGTGCCAGATTTAGAAGTGGCCAGGATTGGGACGCCTGGATGGCTCAGTCGGTTAAGTGGCTGCCTTCAGCTCAGGTCATGATCTTGGGGTCCTGGGATCAAGTCCCGCATTGGGCTCCTTGCTCTGCAGGGAGCCTGCTTCTCCCTCTGCCTGAAGCTCCCACTGCTTGTGCTCTCGCTCACTCTCTCTTGCCCATGCTCTCTCTCTCTAGCAAGTGGATAAATAAAATCTTTAAAAAAAAAGAAGTGGTCAGGATTATCATCATGAGTATTATTTGTATATCATTGATTTTTCAAACTTTTAAAAATTAAGCAATAAAACATTATTTTTTTAAGCAAACTTTCCCCAGAATACCCAGATAAAATAGATGAAAACAGAGGTAATCAGGAACCCTGCTCACTTGCTTCCACTATTCCCCTCTGGGGTGGTCCAGACAAATCTCTGTAGAACCCACAGCTGTTGCATATAGCCAGAGTTCTGTGTAAAATATGAAAAAGTGACCCCTAGAACTTACAGGAAATGCTCTATTCTGCCCAAGGATTATTTTATAAGTGAGAAAAAAATCTTTGTGACAAGTAAAAAGGTTTGTTTTTAAGCCTATACGTTGAATCTTGATTTTTAGCTCCAAAGTAAAAATGGTATGCTTAGAGAAAAAGCTTGCTGGTTATGGGCTATTGGAACTTAGTTCATTTTTATTTTCTACTACTCCCACTTGAGATTTCCTCTTCATTCCACAGTAGACTAAATGTCAGTCAGAATTATAGATGAGAGAATTGATCAACAGGGTTGTGCTTACTGTGAGAGGGGAAGGGCATGTCATTTCTACAGTGAGATACTGGAAATAGGTGAAAAGTCTTCCCATAATGAATATATACTTTCTGAACAAAGTGCTAAAAGACTGTGAGATTTCTTTTCTTTTTGTTAAGAATGGGTGTTGGGGATGTTGGAAAAGGCAAGCCTCAGGGAGATGATGATACAACATTCAAAGGCAGAGCTGTGTAACTTCTAAGGCAGGACTTTCTCCTCTGCTGTACCTTCTCAGTACAACCTGCCTGGCAGAAAAAGAAAAATTTATATGATGCATCTTTCTGTTTATCATTGATTAGAATATAGATTAGAATATAGATTTCTGTGCAGTTCTTAAAACCAAGATTATGAATCTCTAGGGATTACAATTTGTAATGCATTTGGGGGGTGGTCTCCCAGAAATCAAACATTCTATCCTTTTGCCCCCCACTAAGTGCACTTGAATTAAGCCATACACTCCAATTTTGGTTCACAACCATGGCCCCATATCTGTGAGAGAAAGATTTTGGAAGAACAATAGAGCTGGGTCTGCAGGTGCCTAAGTATGAATTTGCAAAGGCTGCTGCACAACCCATTCTATGAAATTGGCCTTGGAAAAGATCCACTTTCAGAAAAACCAACATAGTCCAGATTCTGTTTGTTTTCAGATTAATTACAAAAACTTCCCCACTTTCCACCTCCTCCTTCTTTTACCTTAAAATGACTTCTTCATTTTTCTCGGAAATGATGTGGATTATTTAGTGTAAATAAATAGTGCAGAGATTTCCTGAAAGAGAGCTGATATACTCTATAAAGCATAGATAAAATTATTTCATTCCACTAAGACAGGACTGGGCTGTTGGCCTTTATTGAAGATAGTGATGTCAAGTCACGGATTTCTGAATCTTTTCTAGTTACAAAATGTACTTGGATTTTGAGTAATGAACCAAGTAAGCAATAGAAAAGGGTGACTTCTTGAACGTTCACCATGTTTGGCAGTCATAATCTGATTTTACATACGTTTAACATTTTTTTCAAATAACCTCATGAGAAAATGATAACCCCATTGTATAGATGAGAAAACTTAGGCTCAAGAACAAGAAGGTGGCCCAAAGACACCTAGCTAGTAAGGTGGCAAAGGTAGGTCTGAACCCAGGTCCTTCTATTCTACTCCTGTCACTGCTCTTTCCACCATGTTTCTTCATATGTGATTATTCTCAAAGCTGGGTGCTGCCATGTTCTGACATTTTCATACACTCAGAGAAAGTAAACAGATCTTTAATGCATTTGCAGATGAAAATTGTAAGCCATTATAAAACTTTGTCAAATCTTTCTCCAAGATGGGCTCTGTTCTGCCCCTGATTAATTGTTTTGAGGTGTTGCTGTTTAAATTTTCTCTTGGGCTTTTTTCTGATCAATTAATTCAGATCTGTTAATAGATAATTTAGGCCTGGCAAATGAATTCTTTTTTTTAAAAGGTTTTGTTTTTAAGTAATCTCTATACCCAACGTGGGGCTCGAACCCACAACCCCAAGATCAAGAGTCGCATGCTCTACCAGCTGAACCAGCCAGGCACCCCCTGGCAAATGAATTCTTAATAGGAAAAGACAAAGTGCAAGCAAAGCAGCATATCTGCTGTTATAGCAACAGCTAGATAATGAATTGTGGCTCTGACCATACCCCTAGCTGTGTAGCGCATTGCCTAGTTTACAATAAGTAGTCAAATATATTTAATTGACTGGGTTTTGGTCCTCACTTTTTTCTATACAAATTATTTCTATCCCCAGCGGTAAGTGGCTGGGACTTGCTATACTAGGGGGTGTGATCACTCATGAAAGCCCTCAGGCTATGGTCACACGAAGCCCTATTGAGTAGGTAATATTGCTGCTGCTGTTTGTCAAACTGGCACGTGATAAGGTAGTTAGGAAGCGCCTCACAGTTCATTTGTAAATTAGTGCTAACAATATCTACTCTCTAGGGTTGTTGTGAGCTTTGGAAGATTAGCTAGCTACCTAGTCAGCTGCCTAGCCAGAAGACCAACAGTCAAGAAAGGTGACTAAATTATAAAAAAAAAAGAAGGAAGAAAAGTGACTATTATTACTTTTACTGTAGTGTTGAATTACATTATTCCTTTGGTTCAGACTCTGTATCTGACATGATTATGCCTGAAATGTGAAAGATCTTGAAGTATATTCTAGAATCTTTTAATATTTGAATTTTTAAAAAGAATCACATAGAATGGTACAAAAATAATAGCCAGTACTAACTGCTTACTCTGTGCCCAGGACTGTTTTATTTATTTCATGCTCAAAACAGTCTTCTGAAATGGGTATGAGTATTATCTCCATTTTACAGTTGATGAAATAGAAGCAGAAGTAACTTGCCCAACCAAGGTCACGTGACTAGTAGTAAGTAGCAAAGCTAGATTTGAACCCAAGCAGTTTTATGCCAGAATCCCTGCTTCACTACACTAAATGTAGCCAGATTTAATAATTTTGTTTCTGATTTGTGCCTTTTCATGTATGTTTAAGAAAATCCTTCCCCCCATATTTTCCAATACTACCTTCTAAAGGGTTTAAAATTTGCTTTTGATATTTGCAGTTTAGTTGCCTGTCTGGAATGAGGGTAGGAATCTAATTTTATTTTGTTATATATGGCTAGCCTAATATGCCAGCAAAGGCTTTTGAAAAAGAGAACCGGGCGCCTGGGTGGCTCAGTTGGTTAAGCGACTGCCTTCGGCTCAGGTCATGATCCTGGAGTCTCTGGATCGAGTCCCGCATCAGGCTCCCTGCTCAGCAGGGAGTCTGCTTCTCCCTCTGACCCTCCCCCCTCTCATGTGCTCTCTCTCATTCTCTCTCTCTCAAATAAATAAATAAAATCTTTAAAAAAAAAAAAAAAGAAAAAGAGAACCACTTTTCAGTTGGTGCATACTCGCGGCTAAGTATTCTTAACCTCTGAGAGCTTTTGTTCATAGTTCAAAAGATACCCTGAGGGTATTCACAGCCCCTGTCCTGTAATTCTGTAGTTCAGTATATCTTTTTCTTGCCACCTCTCTTCCTCTTCTTCCCTTTTATTTCCCCTCCCCCCCAATTTCTGCCTCTTCTCTCTCCTTCCTTTTTAAGGATAGTGCTTACCAAAATTGGGAAGAATTACTGAGTAATCAAGTGATTCATGGTTTCAGGTGTTAAACTACCCTCCTGCTGAAGCTGTGGGTTCATTTTCTTTGGAGGCTGAGAACAGTGGGTTCTGTCAGATGTACTCTTGCAGGAATATTGATGACTCTTAAGTGGGAGTCATATACTGGTAGGATGTAGTGTGGCCCCAAACAGCCTAGGTAGGACAGAAGTCAGATTAAAGCTAGTCTGGTTTACTTCTTTACTTACCGTGTAGGGAAATAAAATCTGAATTAAACTGTGATCATTTGTAAAAAAAAAAAAAAAAAATACATTGAAATTTTGTGTTTTTTCAAATTTAGAGATATAATAAAACTTTGATTCTAGTACCAAAGACATATTTTCACCAGTATGATCAATGTTTATCCTCCCTGAGTAATAATTAAACTTGACTTCTATATCTGCACTTCTTTTGACAACAGACTGCATGTAAGGTGATATTCAAACTAATAGCAAAGAACTTAAGAAAACTGGATAATACATGAGCTTGTAGTCTTGAATCAGTGGTATTTTATATTTGCTTTTCTTTCCTGTGGTAGATTTTGAGCTATTAAACATAAGTACACAATCAGGGTCCACTACATCCTGTAGTTGTGGGATCTGAAATCCCATTCAGAAAGAAAATCACACAGTGGGAACCCTGTACAACTGAGAGTGACTGTAAGGCACTGAAGAAAGTGGGTTTCTGGAAGCTCCTTTTTCAACTCTTGGCAACGTGGTTATCTGGAACTCTGGCTCATTCTCCTTTCTGCTGCTTCCCTCTGGCCCTTTCATTGCTTGTTAGCTTGCACCTAAAAATGGGGCAGATGGAGGAAGTTATGCAAAATAATTATTGTGCTAGTCCCTAAACTATTCTGGACATTTTTTGTTATTAGTGGAACATAATGTCATTTTGCTCTTCATTTCAGTTTTAAATTATCTTTTGATTTTATTTAAATGCACATTATTTCTCATTTGTTCATCTAAAAAAGAAAAACTATGTTTTTATTCACATCAGTAGTAATATATTAATTCCAGTAATGAACTTTCCACTAATAAACTAATAGTTTTGGAGTTAGAGATCACCATAATTCCTGCTCAGATGGGAAACTGAGGCGATACAACCAAGATGAAAAAAAGACTGACAAGTTACCAGTATTTCACGAATATATTAGATTTGGTATATTATCACAAAAATGTAATTCACATTTTTAAAATATGAGGGTAACCTATATACAGTTCTTTCTACGAGATTGCTGCTGGTTACAGATTTAGGGATGAGGACCAAGTAAAAGGGATATGATCTTAATCTCCAAGATGGTAAATTTGTAATTTGACACTCAAACTGGGCATTTTTATTACCCTGAGATGGTTCTTTTTTTTTTTTTTAAGATTTTTATTATTTATTTATTTGAGAGAGAGCAGGGCAAGGGCAAGGGCAGAAGGAGAGGAAGCAGACTCCCTGCTGAGCAGGGAGCCCCATGTGAGGCTCAATCCCAGGACCCTGGGATCATGACCTGAGCCGAAGGCAGACACTTAACCAGCTGAGCCACCCTGATGCCCTGAGATGGTTCTTTTATTATTTTATTTCTGTTACTGTCCAATAGAGAGCAGTTTCTACAGACTTTTTGCATGAGCCCGACTCCAGTTCATGACAAGCCACACTTTAGGTTTTCTCGCCTGAGTTAGGGAAACCTGACCTCTCCCCAGCTTTGGCTAATGGCTTTGAAATAGGATAGTTTCAGTTTTCAGATCTGAGCAGCTTGTCTTTTTCTTCATCTCCTTTGAATGGTTGCTCACCCATATGAAGGATAGTCATTGTGTGTGTTTAAGAGTCCCTTGTCTAATAAAAAAACCTTTTACTGGATAGAACTCACAAAAGTTGAGCTCCAAAAGGCCTGAACTTAGTTGTTGACTTGATTAATTTCTTACCTCTTACTGTCTCTCTCCCTGAGTATCACTTTTATTGCCCAAGTATATCACAGTACTTGTGATCTGGGATATTAACTCCGAGAGTATACCACATTCGTCCTTGGCACTTGGAGCAGTACCTTCTCATTCTTACCTTCACCTGTCTGCAGCTACCAATTGAGTGTCCCTATTAGAGAGAGAATAATCCCATTACCCTTGACATACTTGGGGTAAAAAGACACTGATAATTGGATTTTTATATCTAGCCAGTAAAATACCTATTCTCACCAGCATTTTGGGTGACCATAATCTGAGAGCATGGATTGGAATTATAGTGATGTCTGAATACTAAAATGATTTTCATATAATTAAATTGAAATGCAGATGTACCTTGTTTCACAAAAGTATGTGTGAAGAATGTTTGTGAATAAAATCATGCTTTAAACCCACTAGCTGGGGCACTTGGGTGACTCAGTTGGTTAAGCATCTACCTTCGGCTCAGGTCATGATCCCAGGGCCCTGGGGTTGAGCCCTGCGTGGGGCTCCCTGCTCAGCGGGGAGTCTGCTTCTCCCTCTCCCTCTCCCTCTGCCCTTTCCCCACTTGTGCTTGCTTGCTCTTTCTTTCTCTCTCAAATAAATAAAATCTTTAAAAATATATAAATAACTAGGGGAGCTTTGTTATTTAAAGAAATACTGTAATAAATTCTCTAACAAAGGAAGAACACCCCCAGTTTACATCTTGTGCAAATCTTTTTTCATGTCTGTTTTGTGTAAGGCAAAGTGTACTTGTAGAAGGACAGTATCCAAAAGGGACATGGGAGTTGTACAGGACAGGAGGTATTAGGTCAACTATCTATGCCAAGATCTGAGAGTTCGTAAATTTTCAATACATTTGGTTTATTGATTCTGGAGAGGTAGTCCTCTTGGGCTCCTTCTAACATCCACTTCTTATTTTTATACTAGATCGAGCGATTGGAAGTAAGCAGCCTCGCCCAGACTTCCAGTGCAGTGGCCTCCAGCACCGATGGCAGCATCCACACAGACTCTGTGGATGGAACACCAGACCCTCAGCGCACAAAGGCTGCTATCGCTCACCTGCAGCAGAAAATCCTGAAGCTCACAGAACAGATCAAGATTGCACAAACAGCCCGGGACGACAACGTCGCTGAGTACTTGAAGCTCGCCAACAGTGCAGACAAGCAGCAGGCTGCCCGCATCAAGCAGGTCTTTGAGAAGAAGAACCAGAAATCTGCCCAAACCATCCTCCAGCTACAAAAGAAACTTGAGCACTACCACAGGAAGCTCCGAGAGGTGGAGCAGAATGGGATTCCTCGGCAGCCGAAGGATGTCTTCAGGGACATGCACCAGGGTCTGAAGGATGTGGGAGCAAAGGTGACTGGCTTCAGTGAAGGTGTGGTGGACAGTGTCAAAGGTGGACTTTCTAGCTTCTCCCAGGCGACCCATTCAGCAGCAGGGGCCGTAGTCTCAAAACCCAGAGAGATTGCCTCACTAATTCGGAATAAATTTGGCAGTGCAGACAATATCCCTAACCTGAAGGACTCTTTAGAGGAAGGGCAAGTGGATGATGGGGGGAAGGCTTTGGGGGTGATTTCAAACTTTCAGTCAAGCCCAAAATATGGTAGTGAGGAAGATTGTTCTAGTGCCACTTCAGGCTCAGTGGGAGCCAACAGCACCACTGGAGGCATTGCTGTAGGAGCGTCCAGCTCCAAAACAAACACCCTGGACATGCAGAGCTCAGGATTTGATGCACTACTACATGAGATCCAGGAGATCCGGGAAACACAGGCCAGACTAGAGGAATCCTTTGAGACCCTCAAGGAACATTATCAGAGAGACTATTCATTAATAATGCAGGCCTTACAGGAGGAGCGATATAGGTAAGTTATATGGAATTAAAATTCTAAAGTTGGGAAGGGAACTGCAAAAGGATCTGTGTAGAGTATCTTTTTTTATAGCATCCAGAACACTTTAGATATGTCATATAACATCCCCATAGTTCTATCATAGAGAGCAAAATAGAGGCACAGCAAAGTTAAATGACTCCTGAGATCATACACCAATGAAGCATTGGGGTCAGGGGAAGACAATTACGGTAGCTCTCCAATCTTCCATTCCAGTTTAGGACTTTCACATGAAGCCCAAGCTCTCTAAGGCATTCCACCTATTTATTTATAATCATAGAACCACAAATCATTGCAACCTATAACTATGCTACACTGAATTCAAAAGATCTATAACCCTCTGAACTCTAAGAAATCTAAGAAAAATCAAAGATATACCTGGCTAAAAATGTAATGAACACTGTAGGTATTTGACCTTAAACACACTTATGTGGACAATTGGTGTAGAGAGATTAGACTGAAAGTATATCCAGATAAGCACGTCTGTTACCTTTGTTACGAATTGGCAGATGTTTGAATGGGTGTGGACTTAAACATGAAATGTTTCTACAGTCGTTAGAGAATTCTCAAAGGGCTAACTGCTTTGAGTCATATCTGTGCTAAAGGTAGAGAAGCTGGTCTTTCTTCTGTTTCATATAATACTCCATATTCATATTAGACCACTCTTAGTTGTTCTCTAAAAACATGTTTTTTCCCCTTGTTTCTATCCCATGCAGAGAGAAATAATATCCCCCATACAGTACTCATTCAGATCCAAACTCGCTCAGCCAGAGACAGGCCACCTCACTGATACAGATTAAGGGCCAGTTTTACAGAAGCCACAGGTCAGAGCAGGACTCGAAAGACCTGGGTTTTGGTCCTATCCCAAATACTAACTCGAGGGAATCCTCACTACTTACCCTGTAATATCAAGGGTTGAACAGATGATCTCTTAAGGTCTGTTTCACCTCTTTTTAAAAAACAATGATTTTTTTTTTTTAAGTTTGCTTTTATGAGATAATCTCAGGGTTTGAAATAAATTGTTCATGTGTATCCATTAGCTCTGAGAGAAGTTACAGCCGCACGCTGTTTTCAGATGGTGAAAATATTAGTAATTAAGCCCTGCCTCTTCATTCTTCAATTCTAACTAATTCTAACCTAATTCTAAGACTTTAAGGGAGATGAAAAGAAAAGTGAGTGTGGGAGAGAGAAATGAAGTTCTTAATAAAAGCAAATATATTACTATTTATTATTTTAGTATTTTGTATATTCTTTCATATACTTAAAAG